TTTTTTTGGTTAATTTAAAACCAATTTCAGTTTCAACCAAAACTGGTTTTTGCCCACTATGCTTTCAACTTAGTCTTCTCTAACTATGATCCAAGAAACTTTCTATTTGACTATCCAGAAGTTGGTCTTATCATCACCCTCAAAAAGGCACATGAATTTTTTGGTGCTCTATATTTGGACAAGTTATCTGATCTTTCTCAATGTAAAGATCTCCCTGTCCTTTATGCAAAGGGACCCAACGGCCATGACTGCTTACCACTCATGCTATGTTAGACATTTATTATTCTTCTTTTTTTTGGCATTTTTATTTCATTTTATACTTTTAAGAATCCTGAGTTAATTTTTTTTATATCTTTAGGTTTGCAATCTAGTGCCCAGCCAATCATTCACTTCACAATTGACTCCAAACCAAGAGGACTATTAGAAAATTTGTCGAAAAGCGCATTCTGAAAACAAGGGCTCTCTTAAGGAGTGTATATCTCTTCCCTTAATATATTGCCCACTTACTTGTGGAGAGTTACATAGTTTGCCATTGGCAGGATTTCTTCAATTATAAATATTCAAATTGTCTTCACAAACATTGATTGAAATTTAATAAGGAGCTAAAAGATATTATTGGTAGATGATGTGGAAGAAGCCAGAGCTTAAAATACTCCATTTATTCTTTGCATTGTCCAAAATGGAAACTATGAACTTATTAGTGAAACTAGATTTTATCATGTGTTTTTGGTGTGTGAAGCATGACTTTCTTGTTGACAACGGAGCACTCACTCAATATATTTTTGAAGAAAGAGATGCCTGGGTTACCTAAACCAAAGCTGTAAAGCAAGTGTTCTGTAAAATTTATAGACACGTATATACATTCAAACTTAAAAATTTCCTACACACTTTATATTAATTTACAATAATAGATTCTGTGTTTGTAGAAAAGGCCACCACCTTGGCCAAGCATATATTGATAGTGGGAGTCCTTGTCTTTCATAGGCCTCAAGTTTCACTAGTCTCAGTAATCTTTTAGTTTCATTTTGATATTATCTTGTGTGTGGCAATGTTGTTGCTTCTATAACTCGTCACATTTTCAGGTTGTTGGCTTTCAATGCCCAATGATATTCTCATGATACAAGGCTTTTTTGAGAAAGCAACCAAAAAGTATGAAGACATCTTTACCTTTTTCCACAAGCCTTAATTGATGGGCAAGATGATGGCATTGTGAGGTATGCAAATTGCAAAGTATTCTAATGATTTGTTTATTCTATCTCAAAGGTTGTCGAAAGAGACACTTGAGCTTGAACTCAAGAAAAGAATAAAAAATAAGATCGTTTGGCATTTAGGACCAGAACAACCTAATGAAATTTCAGCCAATTAGAGGAACTTGCAGGAATTGTTAATCAGACTTGTGATTTTGAATTGTTGTTTGGTGTGTCTTATCATAATGTGCATACACTCTAGCACCCTCTTAGCCTGCAAAATTATAGTTTAAATTTATTAAAAGGCAAAACTGGTTCCAATGTTATATAGCTATCACAACTTTAGCAAGACATGGATCAAAGACATTGTCCAATGTAGCACACACCCTTTACATATCAAAAAAAAAAAAAAAGAAAAAAGAAAAAGAAAGGGTATTTCAAAATATCAATTGAACATCATAAACACGTATCAAAGTCATAAAATACTTAACAAATAGAAAAATGAAAGAAGAGTTGTACGTGCTACGTGTGTGCTCTAATAACTCTTCCATCCAGCAGTTAGGAGTGTCAATCTGTTGACCACCTTTTTTATAGGAGATGTTGAAATGATTATCAAAGAAGTTCACTATCTTGCCCTCACTCACAAAGTTAAATTAGTGACGTGGACAGCGCATTAGATATACTCTTGCACATGTGATTCACGTGCTATCAAAGAATCTGAGTTCTAAGTTTCACTTTGAGTTCAAATGAAGTTTTGTGGTCCTTGTCAAAGAACTAGGCTAAGAAGGTAAAAGGCCTCAACGAGAATGGATCCCAAGACATTCAATTGATCTTGGATTCCAATTGGGCTTGATTATTTGAACTGGATTTGAATTGGGCTTGATTATTTGAACTAGATTCAAATTGGGCTCAATTATCTTGTGGAATTGTGTGTTGAATTTTGTTGGTAGAAAGTCCAACCCCATGTGAACACATGGACTTTCCATGTGGTGAAATTTCTTCACCAACCTAGCTCTGGAAATTGTGATTAGGCCATTGGTGGCTCCATTTATGTAATCTAAAGAACAAATAGATATAGTCAATTAAGGTGTTTTATAATTATGTTTACCTTGGTGACAGTTATTTTAACCAATTGTAATTTAACTTCAAAAGAGTAATAAAACAATTATTTAGTGTAAAGTTGTCAATCTTGTCTTTCTATATGGTTAAATGTGACATTTTTAAATTGACTATTTTATGTTGGTTGGTTGAAATTTGGAAATTTTTATTTTGTCACAGTACAATTATCAATTAACAATTGTTATTAACATTCATTTTTGTTTTACCATTTTTTTTTGGTAGACTAGGTTTGTAATGAAGACGGTAGAGTATTTAGCCAAATATTTGATGACTAGTATTGATACGCACTATCAACTAGGATTGCACATATAATAGCTACCGATAGTTGTTTTCTTCGGTTCTTCATGAGAAAAAATAGAACAAAGTGATTACTATTATTTCATTTGCATTACAAAAGGACCAAGTTACTACTTTCTCTTACTTTTCTCCCCTTGCTTTCTCTTACCTTTAGCCTATGCTAAGCTTCCACAACTTTAGCAAGACAAGGATCAAAAAACATTATCCAACGTAGCACACACCCCCTATATATCAAAAAATAAAAAAGTATTTCAAAATATCAATTGAAAATCTTAAACACATAACAAAGCCATAAAGACTTAACAAATATAAAAACAAAGGAAGATTTGTACATGCTACGTGCGTGCTCTGATAACTCTTCCATCCAACTATTGAGGAGTGTGTCAATCTGATGACCACCATTTTTATAGGAGATGTTGAAATGATTTGCAAAAGGGTTCACTGTCTTGCCCTCACTCAGTTGTGAACTCCTATTTGCAAATTCATATGGAGTATCAAAATATGAATTTTTTTGATACTCTATATCAAAACAAGTTCTCTGATCTTCATATATCAGGCCAAGACTGTTTACCATTTGTGGTATGTTAGTCATCTATGATTCTTTTTCTTCTTCTTCTTCTTCTTCTTTTTTTAGGGCATTGTTAATTCCTTTTATACTTTTAAAAATCCTAAGTTGATTTTTTGTTTTTAATTTCTTTAGGTTTTGCAATCTAGTGCCCATCCAATCATGAGTATTAGAAAATTCATCAAAAAGTGCATTCTAAAAACAGGGGGTCTCTAAGAAGTGTATATCTCTTCACCCTAATCTATTGTTCACTTACTTGTGGAAAGTTACATAGTTTGCTATTTGTAGTATTTCTTCAATCATGAATTTTCAGATTGTCTTCACATATATGGATGGAAATTTAATAAGAAGCTAAAAGATATTATTAGTTATGTGATTGAAGGTTTAAATTTTCAACCTTATCATCAAATATCAATAGATATCTAGAGTTGGGTTGTGGTAGATTTTTCTTCTGGAGTTGATATAAATATGTTACTGGGGCGACTTACCTCTGAAGGAGAAGCTTTAGGCATGGTAAATGAACGCATATCCTTTATATTTTCTTTTGTTTCTAGTATAATTTAGCTATTATGTCTAATATACATGGATTGTTTGTGCTTGTAGAAATTATGAACTTATTGATGAGACTTTAGGTTTTATCATATGTTTTTGGTGTGTTAAAATGAATATTATGTTCATTTTACTTTGTGTGTGAAGCACACTAGATGAAACTTGTCTTGTTGACAAGGGACTAGCCACACTATATATTTTTGCAGAAAGAGATGCTTGTGTTATCCAAACCAAAGCTGTAAAGTAAGTGCGCTATAAAATTGATAAACAGGAATACACATTCAAACTTAAAAATTCCCTATATAGTTTCATTTGAGATGTTCCCTTAAACGTTTCCTTCTTTTTTTTCCTTTTTCAACTAAGAGGAATAGATTTTGTGTTTCTAGCAAGGGCCACTACC